GAGCTTTGGATCACAGTCTCCCAGTCAGGAGAGCAGATAAGAGCATTTCTGAGACACAAACCCATATAGAGAACCGCCATCATCATAGCACACTCACAGCTAAACTCCAGGACTCCCAGACCAAGAGGAAACTTAGATTCACTAAGAGAGGTCAGCAGTGCCCACTGTGTCCATGCTGCCTCCCAGCTTATCACAGCTGCTTTTTACTTTGGTGGGTCCATCTGTGCTATTTTCTTGTGGCTTGCAGCCACATGCCCGAGGGGATGAGTGCAGCCAGAATGAGAGGCTGTGTGACAGCCCAGAAGCATGCAGCACACTCTGCCTCCCCAGGATTAACCACCTGCACTTCAGGCTAAGGGCAGGCAGCCCGAGCTCCACAGGAACATCAGCTACTCCCCCCAGGGGCATCAGCTCCCCCCTCCCAGCTGAAACAGTGGGTGGGTGCTGGGGAAGGGAGCTGTTGGCCACAGAGACCACCAGTGCCTCCAGGTTGAACATGGGCAGACAGGTTCCCCTTTGCTGTCCTTTGGCACATGGCCTGGGGGATGAGACCATGCATGTCAGCAAGTGTGACAGGGCACACAGACATGCCACAGCCTGAAGGCATCCTGCTGGGAGCTTGGGAACCCTGTCAGAGTGAGGCTTCCATTTCTGAAGCATTCTCTACCCACTCTTGCTTCCTACAAGCCCTTCTCCTCCTTCCCTTCCTCCATTTGTAGCAGCACTGCATTCTGCATGGTCCCCAGGAGAAATAGGGCAAACATAACCTGATTAACCAGGAGGATTTGGGCAGGAAGGAGGGGGAGGAGATTAACACACAGAGCACGACAGAGCCTTTCCCTCTCACATTAGCCCTTGCCTATTCAATAATTAATGCGCTCTGCGGTGACTCCGACTTTAGGATTTGCTATGAAAGCTTCTCGTAAACTCTGTCTCAGCATGCAGACATCAGACCAAAGAGAACACTCAGCCTGACAAGCTGAAATTTCTTCCAGGCTCAGGCAGAAGCTTAAAACCACTTGGATGTGAGCCTATGGCTCAATTTTAAAACATAAGGATCCCTCTTGCTGCTGTTTACCCATGGAAGAAACCGAACCCAACCTTTATTTGGCCACTCTGTCCCTGAAACATGGTTTAGAAGTTAATGCAGGCTTTCTCCATCTCATGTACAAAAACTCCAAGGCTGGCAGTGCTCCATGAACATAGAACATCAGAATAGGCTTGGAGGGCAGCCAGAGCCTGTGTGATATATTCCTATCTTCTTTCCATACCTTCTTTCTTGCTTGCTTTCCTTAAGGCATATAGATGTTTCAGGATGGAAAAGTAAAGCCACCCACACGGAGAAAAGATGCCTTCCCTGACCTTCCAAGGAGCTATTTTTGGCTGCTCTTATATGCCTAAGAACTCTTAGAGGCGTCATGCACCGAACTAACTGCCCCTCAGTAACTTCTGCCTAGGAGATATGAAACATTGCAGAGATTATTTTTAAAAAATTTAATTCTCTCCATAATCTAACACTCTAATGACTCCAAATCTCCAGATGCTGTTTGCAAACGAGCACATTTTAAAAGGAACTGCAAGTCTAAGCTTATTACCCAAAGAACACACGCTGAACATCACACCTAAACATACAAACAGAACACTAAAGACATATCCTTAATCCAGAATTTTCCAAAATTTACTGAGTACCACAGCCTTTAACTGACTTCACGTTTTAAGTCCAAACCTCGAAAAGAAGCTCCAAAAGTTTCAGATTGAAACAGATTTCTTTTCAAAATATGTACCCCTCAAAGAATTAATGAGATTCAAAATGGAGGAACACTGGGTTAGCAGCCAAAGACACACACAGAATGATACTCCATATAATGAAAGCAACAGTCCTGGCTCCATGTGCCAGAGCACATGAATACACCACATCACACCCCAGCAGTCAGAAACCTGGCCTCTGGTCTGCCCTGTGTCTCTCAAATTCTAATGCTGATATTTTTGCAAACTGGCACTGCCCAGACTGCAAACATTTCAGTCCAGAGGCCAAGAGGGAAGCGATGGGTGAGCCCCACTGGGAAGCAGCTGCCCAAGGCTCCTCATGAGGCAGGGAGGTAATGCTGACCCAGGGGACTGCACAGCCCTGCTGCCACTCCAGACACTGTTTGCCCTCACAGAGAGAGCAAAAGATAAAGCATGCAGGTATCTTTTCCATTCTGAACACAGCATTAAATATCACACAAACACACAGGATGCATAAAGCAGAAATGCTGTACAACTAGCAAAAAGGATGTGGAGAACATACGGGAAGACAACTGTTCAGGAGACCCAGCCTCCAGAAATCCAGCTCTGTGCACACACACAAAAGAACACATAGTACTGTCTCCCAGATCTCACATTTTCATCACATGGCACCTTTTAAAGGGCTCCTGAACTGAGATACTGCCTCCTAAGACCAGAACTGCATAAGGTTTAGTGATACAACTAATTTTGCATAGAGCCATGAGAAAAACAACACAGGGTTGAGGTAGTCAGTGAGAAATGCTTGTAACTTGCACTTAAGACACAAGCATATTGCTCCTCTTACTATAGGGCCCAACTTAGAGAACTACAAGGCTCTGTAAGTACCAGGATTTCCCCCCACAGGAGATAAAAGTCATGCTTCCTCTCTCCCCCACTTTGGTAATATTCTCCTCCTTAAACAAGGCTCACCACAGTTTGCAAAACAATGAGGTCGTGCCCTGCAAATGTTTGCTAAACATTTGTGCAATTTCATCCAAATACAGGCACAGAGGGAACACAAGTCAGAAATGCCACACTTAGCACAGCATTGTGAAAACTATTCATTGGCAGTCCATAGGCAAGCAGCAATCTTTCATTTTCTATTTAAAACTTGAGTATAAATAAAACCCCTGAATTAATCAATGGAGATAAGGGTTGGGGTATTTGTGTAATATTCTTGGAAAACACAGCATGCCAAGTCAAGAGCCATATTTGGCAATTGTTCTGCTTTACTTTCACTCCCCTGGTTCATTCTGCCTCTTTGGCTGATGAGCTCTTTCTGCTGTGTGCCTTTCCAGTGCCTGTGCTGCAAACCTGTGCTCCCAACAGAGATGTTCAGCTTGGTGCCTGCTTGAAGGGTATTAATGACCTCACTACAGCTGCATAATCAAGCTGGGTCAAAAGACCATTGCCCTATAGCAATTGAGGCTGCACCTCTCTCTCCCCAACTTCATTTTTCCTTGGAATCACTGCCATAGTTCAGACCTTTGATACTGAATACATGGTACAACATACCATGTTTCAATTAAGAAACACAGGCACTTAAAATTAAAAAGGTGTGGAAGGAAATTTGGACTACAAAGCAACTCCTTCCTGGAAAGGATAAAAAAATCACTCTTCCCTTCCTGAGCAGCCACACTTTGAACATATATATGACAACAGGGCTCTGCTGGCAGCACACAGGATATAAATGGCATTTAAAACTCTGCCTGGTAACCTCTCAGGACAGTACCCTTGTGTCACAGTCATGTCTTTTGCCAAGGGCTCTGTATTCACCTATAGAGCTGCAAACAGCCACCAACATCACCAAACCAAATACTTAAAAGAATACCTTGTACAGAGACAGTGAAGCCATTTTTCCCCTCCAAGAAGAGCAGAAGAGTTGAGGTCTGCAACACAAGCCAACATCATCCCTCAGGCCTGCTACCCTTGGGCTCAGCCAGCCCAGCTGCAGCTCTTTAAGGAGCCTTAGGGGTGGCCCAAGTGTGAAAATGAAATCACCTGGCTGCCTATCTCCATTCTATTGCTGCATCTGTTGAACTGCAAGTTAAACTTCATCTTCCTCCTCCAAAGGAGGGATAATCATTTATTATATAGTCATCTGTAGGTCCCTCTGGGTGTCTGTAATGTTGAGAAGTGCTCTCAGCTTCCTGCAGTGGTTGGTATGGCCCAGCAATTTCTTCCCCATAGGATGCTGACTTTCCAGCAATGTAACTTGGAATTCTGATTCACAGAAAGGAAAGTTTGGACACAGTGATTTTTGGCTGGGAGAGAATGCACAATCTGCTATTACACAGAGAATCAACCAGATATATAAAGTCTGAAATGCTGGAAAAGTGTCTCCATCCAAAAGGGAGATAGCATTGTGTAGTTAAGTGCATGTCACTTATCAGAGCATCCCATTTCCTGCAGTTCCTAAGTAAATGAGTAAGATTCCAGAGTTGCATCAAGGGAATGGGTTTGGCTTGGAATCCTGCACTGTGACTCATGCTTTCATGAATAAATTCATTTCCTTAGAGAAACAAGACAAAATCACGTGTTCCACTTAGTCCAGCTACCTAGAGTGTTGATTTAGGAAGACATTGGGAAAAAATACAGTTTTGTCTAGCTTTATATTGAATGCATAATCCACTGCAGCTGTACTTGCAAACATAACAACCTTTTAAGGGGGAGAGAAAAACTGGTGTAACTTGGAAGTTCTGGGTATTGAAAGATGTCAGCTAGCAAGTAGTTTGCAATCAAACCAGACAACTGACAAAAAAACATTGTGGAAGTCTGGGTGTTCCAGAAATTGACTCTTACTTACACAGCTCTCCATATTTATTCCCCTCCTGCACATTTAAAAATAGGTTGCAGACACACAGACCCGTAAACACCAGGAAATGAGAATTGCATCAGCTAGGCCCTCCCCTTCCCCACAATGACAGTGCAAAGAAAAGGGGCGTGAAGCAGCAAAAGCCCTGGATCTCTGTAACACCAGCATCCTCAGACGTGCATGGAAGCAGCCAAGGAGAGGCACCCAGAGGTGTATGGATCGTGGCTAATCAGTTCTGTGCAGAGATACTTGTTAGTGCAAGCCAGGATGAAACTCATATTTCAGGATGAAACTCATCTTTCAGCTTTTAGTTTTCTTAGGAGATCAATTCAAACGGTTTGATGTGGCTATACCAACCAAACTGGAGCAACACAAAACGTGGATTTTTATGGAGCATGAACCAGCTCCCTGTATCTTACCCTGGTAAGTATTTCAAAAGAATAATGAAAGAAATCTGGCTGTTAAAACTTTTGGTGTCAAGTTCCACTTTGGAGTCTGGACATGTCTGGTTCAGGAAAATACCATCCATCAATTTCATGCTGCTTTATAAAGCTGAAATGTTTCATAATTAACAAATCTCTGCAGTACCACCATCAGGTTGGTAGATAAAACACATTTTACAAAGGAGAAATGAAGCCATTAAAGCTGGAGGAAATTGTTCAGGTCTCAGAATAAATCAAAGGGAAAGACAGGACAGGAACATGATGTAGCTATGGGTAGTGCCAGGTTCCCTCACACACTGACACCATGTGAAAGCAGAGCCCTTGATGATGTCAGAGCAAAGGCAGGACTGATCATAAATGGAATAGACCCTGGGATTTTTAAGGGCAAATTAAACCTCATGTCTTAGGTAGAAATGCCACTGACCTTTGCAGGGCTGGTCAGCATCCCCAGGAGCTTTGGGTTGCTGATAACCTCCCAGCTGAGCTGTAGGTCACTCAGCAAACCTGCAGGTCCTGGCTTGGTGTCCCTGTTCAGCCCTGCAGCACCATCAGATTTGACTCAGTCTGTCATGAGCCAGGACCTGGGCAAATAGAGAGAGCCAAAATTAAATGTCACCATGTAAAACTTCTTGTATACTAGCAAAATTGAGAGAAATTTATTAACATTTTGTGTTTTACTGAAAATTGCAAAATGTACACATCAGACCCACCTTGTATAACTGTCTCTGGACTTTATTTTTGTGACAATAGTCTAATGGTATCTCATAGTTTGAAGGCATATATGTTGTTGAATAAGAATGTGATATTTGTTTCCATCTGTTATCACTCAGCTCCTGATCAAATGCCACCTGGGGCCAGTGGAAAGACTCTGCTTCTAAGTCCTAAAATAAAAATATTAGTGTTTCTACATTCAGCAACTTCTATTGCTTTATTATTCATGTTTAATCTGTGAAAACTAATAGGAAAAGGAGGGCAAGCAAGCTGAGGAAGGGTCAAGCTTCCCTGGAGAATCTGTCACATTTCTGGCATTCCCATCACTCTATCAACACCACCTCCTGCTACCACAATAAAAAGCAGCAGTGGAGAAAGAACAGGAAGAACAAAACTACTTATGCACACATGTAAGATAAGTCAACCCATCCCTACAATCAACCACTTACAGGAAATCAAAACAGAGCTGGCCTCCATCTTCCAAGTGCAAGAAAAATGCCTGTAAGTTGCTCACCCCATTCTGTTTGTGCAGTTCTGAGCCTTCTCTCATTGAAGCTCTCTGAGGCAGAAAATCAGTGTCAATCATGCCAGATGACTGCTTTCCTCCTGAGCATCTACTGCTGATAATAAGATCACAAAGGCCACATAAAAGGAAAAATTTGTCCATCGCAGCTGCCCTCTCAGTTCTGTAACTGAGATAAGTTAAAAGGTGAATGAGCACTGGCATATTAAAAGCTGACTCTATTTTTTAATTAAAAAAGGGTTCTAATCTGCTTATCATCATCACTGAGGACACACTGGGACCAGGATGGTCTTGAAACATCCCAGCTGGTTTTCTCTGGCCTGCTCTACTAAAAGTAGGACCCCTGGTATCTGAATAGGCACCAGAGAGATAAGAACAACCTGATGCCCTATAGAAAACAGCACTTCATTGTTGGTTCTGTTCTCAGTAACAAGCAGCACAAACACAAGTGAAGGCAAGTGAAGATGTTACAGGAACTTACACCCTGAAAACCACGTCCAAGTTCATTTTGTCTGAGCCACAGGCTAAGAAGATTCTTACAATACCAATAGTGTTCTCTTACGAGCTTTGGTCTCACTGTGAGTAGTAGAATACCACCTACTTTACATTAGTTACCAATTTTAAAATGCTTATTAATCTTTTCAGCCAGTATTGTCATAGAAGCTTCCTAATCTTGCATTTAACCTCTTTAAAAGTAAAAGTTTTTATAGGCCAAAATATTTCTTATTGGTCAAAATTCCTGTCAAATGTTCATTTTCTGTCCTGCCAGATGTCTGTAACTCAAACCTGGATGAGATGTTCAGTCCCATTCATATAGAGCCACTATAAATACAGATTCCTGGGATGCAGAATTAAACTTCCTAATCCATCCTTGAGGCTTCTGACAGAACAAGATGCTCAGTGAACCCAGAATAATGCAGAATGACAGAACAATGTCTCCTTTTCACCCTGCATTCATGTGGCTTTGGGCAAGCTCAGCATCTACCCACACTTCCCTTCATTAGTGACCAGCTTTCTCTGGCATGGCTCATCCCACAGGCACTGCTCCTTCCTCCAGCAGCAGCAAGAACAAAGGTATATTTAACCTCCCTTGCTGGAAGTGCTGGTCTTTATAATAAGCAGAATTTTGTATTTTTCTGTCTTGTTTCATGCAAGAAACGACAGAAAAATATGCCAATTCTATGTTTCAAGATGTTTTCTCCCCAGTATTTTTTGTTTCTGTTATTTGCCAATGGGCTGTCAGATAATGGTGAGGCTTTGGGTTTCCATTGCTGTCAGATCACCCCAGCAGAAGGGAATTGTCACTGGGATGGTGTGTGACCAGGCATGCCACAGCAAGATAAGGACCTCAAAAGGAACTCAAGCACATCCTAGGAGCTGAGGACAGATATGGCCAAAAATCAGTTAGAGTCAGAAACCCAAAAGGAAAGCACAGTCAAAGATTGTAAAGGTACCACAACTACAATAAATAATAAAAAAAAATATTACAGTAAAAACAAGAATGAGAAAATAAAGGTAACACAGCTACTCACACAAGATTAAATTAATACTTACCTGATTTTTAGTAAAGATGAACATGATAATCCATGGGGTAAAGACAGGATGTCTGAGAGAAGAAGGAGAAAGCAGAAGTGGGTAAAAGATACTAAATGAACACGACTCACAGATGGTGAGCAAAAGTCACTGAGTTTGCTGTTTTCCAGCTGGAGGAGCCAGGCATTCTCAATTCCAGAGCCCTGACGTGCACAAATCCAAAAGATTTTAAGTAAATTTGCCTACTTGAAGGCATTACCAGAGGACCAGAGAACAGCAAGTTCTAAGAAGTAAGCCACGGTGGAAGCAGTTTGGGCCTGTGATTTTGATGTCTGTGAAGTTCTTCAGAAAAACTTACAAAGGAGAATCTAACTAAAACCATCTTAGTCAATGAATAACAAAGGGATAAAAGGCAGCGTGGATTTACTAAAATCCAGTTTTGTAGGATGACCCACAAAATAGTATAGTATAAAATTGAAACTTCAGGCATTCAGGAAATAAACTTTTAAAAATTTGGTTTTGCTTTTTGTTGGGAGTCTGAGCAAGAAATAAGTGAATGGAAGGAGGACTTGGCTTTCCTAAGCAGCCGCAGGGTGACAGCATGGTGTGACTGAAACGGACCAGTGTGAGTCCAGTCATGGAATTTCCACTGGCTTCAGGAAAACATTAGTGTTGTGTTTGAGGCATTGCTGTCGGACACTCCATGCAGCAGCCCCTTTCAGGAAAAAAAGCATTTAAAAAGCATTTAAATTGAGAGTGTGCCGCAGAACACACATCCCAATGACCAGGGAACCGCTTGCAGGACCGTGAAGGGCTCAAAAGGTTTGGTTTATATAACCTAGCACAACAAATGAGTGGGAATTGGATACGTAACTACACGGAAAGGGGAAGTAAACAAAAACCCACAAATATCTATTGATTTAAATGGAAATTAGAAACTGGTTTTCTGCCACCCGAGAAGAGGCCCCATCCGGAACCATGGCCATAAACCCCGGAGGAGGAGGCCGGGGCCGGGACTGCCCGGGCGGGAAACAAAGGCAGGAATGCCTTGAATTCCCACAAACCCTGCAGAGCCGGAGCGTTTGCTTTCACTCATCGCGGCTAACAGCGGAGAGAGTGAGATGTCCCCGGACGAGGGCCCTCAGACGAGCCCTGAGGGCACGCATAGCTGAGCTCCTCAGCCCCGCCCCAGCTCCCTGCGCTCGCCGCCCTCCGCCCTCCGCTCCATCTCCTTCCCGCTGCTCCTTCCCCCTCCTCCCTCTCCGTCTCTCCACCCCGACGTGTCGGCGGGCACGTCCCCGCGGCCGCAGCCCGCCCGCCTCACGTCAGCCGCCCGGGCCGTATTTAAGGCCGCGGCCGCCGCCTCCCCCGCCCGCCGTCACAGCCGCGCTCGGAGGAGGACGCTCGGTAGGTGCGATCGCCGCGGCGGGCGGGATGGCTGCGGGGGCCGGGGCTGCAGGGACAGGGGGATGCGAGAAGGGGGATCGCAGGCGGTGCTGGTCCCGCAGGCGGTGCTGGTCCCGCAGACCTCCGGGGGCACGCGGTGGAGCAGGCGGGACAGATGGACAAAGTCCGCTCCTGCTCCGCTGAGTCCCCCCGGCCGTGGTGGAATCTGCGCAGCGCTGGGCTCGAGTCCAGCCGCGGTGATTTCCACTCACAACCCCCCCATCGTCCCCTCTCTCCTGCCCTTGAGCCTCCATGGATTAACTTCCTTCCCGTAATCGCTGCGTGCGGCCCCGGGGAGTGATCCTGCAGAGAGACTTGAGGATGGGCTTAAGGCTGCATTTCAAATGTAGATCGGTGGACCACCTACCACTCCCCCAACTTGTTTCTTTGAGGGGTATAGCACTCTTAAAGGGTAAAAAAAAATTAAGTGTAACAGACGTGCTTGAGTGGGTGGCTGTGATCAGCCTCGAAATGACTGTAGTGCAAAGGGAGGACTTGGCACGTGGAGAGTGCTCTGCATGGCCACGCTTCAGGAGCCTCCTGCGCGGCAAGACTGACGTAGCTGGGTTGATTTTCCCTAAATATGGGCCCTGCTGGCTTCCTGGCCCTCCCCTCAGCCCCAATATTTGCAGTCCTTACCTGCTGCTCTGCTTGGCTTCTCGTGCTCTGAACGAGTCGCTGCGTGTTCAGAGTCGTGCGGTGTCTGTACTTGCATCCGTCTGTGCTGCTGCTCCTGCCCTGGGCTCTGCAGGCTGCTCCCAGTGCAGCTGCCAGAGCAGCACCATTTCCTGGGAAAGCGTGGTGGTGGTGGCTTCCACGCGGACATGGGGATGAAGGCACAATCCTTTGTCATCGTAGTGCCATTTCGGCACCCCCTTGGCTCTCAGAGCCCAACTAACCAGGATGCTCTGCAGCTGAAATGTGCGGGTGGGAGAGACGGTAACACCAGACTCCAGCCATCTTAATTCAAAACTCTGCAGTTTCACTTCAGAACAAATTCAAGAAGTTGACGTGGAGGCTCATGCTGTGCTAAAAAAGGGTTTGCCTAAGTGTTGCACAGCTTGAGCTCTGGAAAGGCTTCAGGGCACAGAATACCAGTTTTTCAGGGTGAGAGAACAGAGACTGCCAGACTGTGCTGTGCTTAGAAGTACTAAAATGGCTTCCTGTACCCAAGTGTAATATGGATGGTCATTTAGAACGTTCTGCTGCTGCTGCTGGAGTGCCACCAGCTATGTAATATAATCAATGGCTTTCAGGCTGTATTTGAAGCAAAGCTAGGTTGAGCTTGAACAGAGGATTGTCATCAGCAATTCAGTTTTGCAATAATTTTTTGGCATACAGACAGTATTGCCAGACATTTTATTCATGTGTTTTGTATCCATTTTCTTATCATCCTGGAAGAAAGTCTATCTTGCTGGATACAATTATTCTGGTGTCAGTAAAAGCTCCAAAGCTTGGAGAAATGATCTGTTTTCTTTCCTTTCAGCACTGCACCATGTCTCTCAAGGATCAGCTCATCCACACTGTCCACAAACAGGAAAGCCATGCCGAAAATAAGATCAGCGTGGTTGGAGTGGGTGCAGTGGGAATGGCCTGTGCCATCAGCATCCTCATGAAGGTAAGTGGAAGGGAGGGAGCAGCAGAAGAAACTGAGACCTAAAAGAGGGGCAAAAAAAATTAAGTCACCCTTATTAGATGAACTTTTGGTTATACAATCCTTTTTTGGGCCTGAAATGAAGCAACAGTCTTCAAGCTATTGACAGAGAACAAATAGCTGCAGTTCTTGTAAATGAACTTTGTCTCAAGATCAGGCAGAATGTCCTTTATGTATCTTTTTAAGAACTGCATTTACCTTTGTGGGACTTGCAGACTCGCTTCTAAGTGGGAATTCTCTTAACACTTCACTTCTTCACAAAAAGATTGTGAACTGAGGATTTATTTTGTCTTGAGCAATCAAATGGAATAATTCTTTGCAGTATGGTCTGGAAAAAATTAGTCCTTGACACTCTGAATGACTTGTCTTCTGCCTTCAGTTATACTGAAAATGCTATGGTTAACATCAGGCTTGCTTTTCTTGACTGTCAAATAGGTTGCATATGAATCACTATTAAATTATTCTTTGTTAGTGTCCTGTTTAATTGTACTACTATTTCATGCAGAATGTGGTTGTGAAAAGTATAAAGAGAGCTCAATGAAGTGGATATCCCAGGGGACTAATTTAAGGACTTTGGGAAGACTTGAAGTGTTAGAGATGAGCAAAATTATTTAAGTAGCCTTTGAAATAATTGCAACTTCATGTTTGAAAACCGGGGTCTTTGCTGAAAGAGGCAGCAAACTCACCATTACTCTTGGTCTCTTGTAGGACTTGGCTGATGAACTCGCCCTTGTTGATGTCGTGGAGGACAAGCTCAGAGGAGAGATGCTGGATCTCCAGCATGGCAGCCTCTTCCTTAAAACTCCAAAGATTGTCTCTGGCAAAGGCAAGTAGCTGTCTCTCATGTGCTCATGATTTCCAAATAGAGGTAGCCACTTCAGGTCTCACACTGGACAGCCAAGTCTAGCACTTAGCCTGACACCCTAATTGTTGGAGGGGAGAGCTCATGGATATAGTTCTCAGCTGACATTTTTAAATATGCCTTCTCCTGGCCAGTCCAGCTAGGAATTTTCTCTTAGGGTTCACTACTCAGTACAGAAAGATGGATTTCTTAAGTACTTGTGCATCTTAGAGAACTTTTATTTCACAACCGATTAACCCCTGAACTCATTACTGCTTAATTCTGATAACTTTTAGTGGCAGCCTTGAGTAGGGCAAAGGCTTAACCAGCTCATACCTTAATTGCAGCTCCTACAGGTAGTAGGTTATGAGGGCAGCGCCTTTTTCCTCTTCTACACAGCACTTACCCTGAATGCTATCCCAGCAGCTATCCCTAGTCCCATTTGTGCCTGAGAAGCAGGGAATATCACTGCCTGCAGCTGGGTGTTACGATATCAACATGCCTCCATGTTGTCACAATGCTGTGGCAAGAGCCACTGTCTTAAAATGAAATTCCATTTTCTAAAGAGGCAAAGTCTAGGGTAATAATTACCAGGAAATTGCTACACCCTCCAACTTGAGAATTTGAGATCCCAGTACAGAAAGGAAGCGAGAACTCCTGTTCTGAACCGTGTGTAGTAGAGATTATGTTTGACACAGCCTTTTGTCTGCAGATTACAGTGTGACTGCACACTCCAAGCTGGTCATTGTCACTGCTGGTGCCCGGCAGCAGGAAGGAGAGAGCCGCCTTAACTTGGTCCAGCGCAACGTGAATATCTTCAAATTCATCATTCCCAACGTCGTTAAATACAGCCCTGACTGCAAGCTGCTTATTGTCTCAAACCCAGGTTTGTCTTGTGTTGCCATAAGAGGATTTGGCTTAGAGAATAGTCTTTCTTCAGTAAGGTGGCATTAGTGCACAGGCTTTTAGAAAATACTTGTGCTGGGGAAGAGAAGGCTCCAGGGAGACCCTGGAGAACCTTCCGGTACCTAAAGGGGCCTAAAAGAGAGGTGGACTTTTTACAAGGGCATGTAGTGATAGGCCATGGGGCAACTGCTTTAACTGAAAGAGGTAGATGAAGCTTAGCTCTAAGGAAGAAATTATTATGAAGGTGGTGAGACACTGCAGCAGGTGGCCCAGGGAAGTTCTGGATGCCACATTCCTGGAAAGGGTCATGGCCACGTTGGATGGAGCTTTGAGCAACCTGGTGTAGTGGAAGGTGTCCCTGCCCATGGCAGCGGGTTGGAATGAAATGATCCTTAAGGTTCCTTTCAACCCAAACCATTCTATGGTATCTGTATAGCAATAAATGTAATCTTCCCTTTCCAGGCTCTGCAATTTGGTCTTCTGAGAAATAAACTGGGGTTTTCAGACTGAGTGATCTTGAGCACACTAGGGTCACTGATTATTGCATGCATAGCATAAAGGCAAAGCTCAGAGACTGTTCAAAATAGTCATTATGTTCTATACAACAGTCACTATGTTAGCCCACTGCAGTGTCTGGCCATGGGCACTGCTTTGTGCTCTGTTCCATGCAGCTAGCACGATAAATGTAAGGTACCATCTTCATTATCAGTCTGCTCATGAGTGGCATTTGTTATGCCCCTGTTCTCTTCACAGTGGATATTTTGACCTACGTGGCCTGGAAGATCAGTGGCTTCCCCAAAAACCGTGTCATTGGGAGCGGCTGCAATCTGGACTCTGCCCGTTTCCGGCACCTCATGGGAGAAAGGCTGGGCATCCACCCACTGAGCTGCCACGGATGGATCGTGGGAGAGCACGGAGACTCCAGTGGTAAGGGAGAAATCAGGCTGACTGCTACACAGCTTTGTCTGCCAGGAACACCCTGAAAAGTTACAGCAAAACATTGCTGCAAAACCTTTGCACTGCAGCACTTTAAAAATGCAAGTTCTGATTTAAGTCATTTACTGCACAGAGTAACCCTAGATGATCTATATTTGACCGGAATGACTGTGCTTGGAAAAGGTCATTACTGTAACCTGAGCTGGCTAAACATTTCTAGGCTAGATTGTTCACGTAACTCCCAAAAAAACCCAAACTGAAGCAGCAGGAGGATAAAGTTCTCTGCAAGGCCCTTGCAAAGATCTGCACCAGACCTACTGGCAGCCACTCAGTTGCCATTCCTGGCATCTCTCAATCACTGTATATAGGAATTGCAGAGGCAAGTCTGGAGGACAGGAGAAAGCACTTTTTCCTTATTTAACCTGTACTTTTCCAGCCAGCACCAGAGCAGTGCTGTCTGCTTCCTGACACCCACCAGAATGCACCTGGAATTAATTCTTACTTGGGAAAACTTTGCAAAATGACTGTCATTTTAGTTCATGTTGCTCAGGTATTTCATGTTAACAAAGGTGTATTCAAACCTTTTGACATTGTGTATAAATGTTGATGTGCTCCTAGGTTCTCGGGCTTCAATTTAGGCTGGCCTTATAGGTCATACTATATTTAAAATCATAAGTAAATTGTAAGTGATGTGTTGCAGATTAATCCAGTTAGATCTCATGTTAACTATTAATTGGAGAAGGACTGAGTATTGTGAGATAATTAATCTATGTGCAACTCTCAGTGCCTGTCTGGAGCGGAGTGAACGTTGCTGGCGTCTCTCTGAAGGCTCTTCATCCAGACTTGGGAAGTGACGCAGACAAGGAACACTGGAAGGATGTCCATAAGCAGGTCGTGGACAGGTAAATACTGGCTTGGCTTTTTTCTAAATTTCAACACAAGAACAAATCATGAGGAGCTGAAAAATCTCTGTTCTGCAGTACCCAGATCTAGAGTACCTCAGTAGCCCCAAATGTTAGGATGCAAACATAATGGAACACGAAATAATATTTTAACAAGTAATGTAGTTAAGTTTTTATGATTAGTAAACTGTATATTGGGGAAGAGCTTAAACTTCTAGGCTTCCAGTATAATTGTGGGGACTAGTGTAAAATGCAAATAGAATTATTCACTGCTGAGTTCATTTTGGTCCTGCCAGAAAATCATTCAAGCTTCTGATGCCTCCAAATTGATCCAGAGACCTCCAAAAGCCTTTCTGATAAACTTGAAGCAGTTCAGCTGATGGCACTTGTTCTTTAATGAGTGTCTGTGTCTCTGCAGTGCCTATGAGGTGATCAAACTGAAGGGGTACACGTCCTGGGCTATTGGCCTTTCTGTGGGAGACCTGGCTGAAAGTATTATGAAGAATTTGAGAAGAGTGCACCCCATCTCTACCATTGTTAAGGTGAGCAGCCCCTTCTCCCTAATTTTTGTCCTACTGAGAATTAAGTATGTCTGGAATTCTGAAAAAACAGCAACTGCTTTCCAGTTTAATTTCAATTAAATTTGGTTTCCTGATAGGATAGTCTATGAAATATACAGCCTAATTCCAGCCTAACAATCCTTCTGTACCTTTCAGGGCTTGCATGGAATAAAAGAAGACGTCTTCCTAAGTGTTCCTTGTGTACTGGGCAGTAATGGCATCACTGATGTAGTAAAGATGATCCTAAAACCTGAGGAAGAGGACAAATTAAGGAAGAGTGCAGACACACTGTGGGCAATCCAGAAGGAACTACAGTTTTAAACCTGCCCAAGCAGTTTTCGGGTCTTAGCAGTTTAACGGGTTTAGTGGTTTGTCTTACGTTGCACTTTCCAAGTAAGTCAAATCTTGCAATGTATTATCTCAACTAGAACACACAAAAAGCTCAAATCTGAACAATGGAGTTTCCTGAAGATAGCATTAGGAAACTAATCTAGGGTTTTCCCGTTCACAGACACCCCTGTTCTTAGCCAGAGCTAGATTACCTAGTCAGTCTTGTTCAGTGAAGTGGTATGACAAATCCAGCATTCAAAGCAGCACTGCCTAAAAAAACCTTTGCCTTTTCCTCATCTTGTTTCATGTTGGTTCAAGGAATAAGGAGTAATTGCTACACAATGTGAAACC